GAGGACCTAATGTCGGGGGTTTAAATGGAGAGAAAATGTTTTGAGAAACGATGTACAAATGCGCTTTACACAATTGATGTGTGTATGGATTGGGACAACAGTTGTATGAGTCCCTAATAAAATGTTAAAAAAAGAAAAAAAAGAAATTACTTTCTTCGAAGGAACTGTGTACCAATTATTTGTGTCAATAAAAATTCTTTACTTCCTTTATCTCTCTTTCCCCCTCTCTCTTTCTCTCTCTCCCAACCCACCCTGCGACTTGAAACGTAGACTACGAAGGCTTGTCCTATGAGTTTTCATGGATGTGATAAGATTTTCTACCTTAAATGAAATAGGAACATGAAAGAAAGATTAAGTTCAGTTATGGAATTTAGAAAAGTTTGGTTGTTTGACTGCTTTTATTTCTAATAAGGTTGTAAAAGTAGAAAGCTCAGACATCAGAGTCCAGAATGGGAAGCTGTGAGGATGAGAGAGAAGAAATGAAGGGGCCCCAGGGCTTTCCCTTCCAGGGCAAAGTGGAGGAAAGCGTTCTGAGCCTGGATCAAACTGCTGCGAGGTCTTCCATTTTGACTCAGGGAAGATGTCTCGTCTGAATTTCTAGCATAGAATTCAGACTGGACTAACGTGTGAAAATAGAGTTGTAATGATTTACTTTAACAGACATTATATTACAAAGTAAAATGTAATTATTTAAAAATTCCTCTAGATATACTAATCTTACATTTGGAAACAAAACCAAAAGACCCATTGCTTTCAGGTCAATTCCAAATCATAATGACCTGAGAGGACAGAACAGAACGTCCCTCTGGGTTTTCAAGGTTGTACGTCTTTTATGAAGCAGGCTATCACAGCACATTTCTCCTGTGGAGCAGCTGGTGGGTTCAAACCACTGACCTAGTGGAATAAGCACTAGGTTTTTCCAGAGACAGTCTATCAGATATGTGATCGCTTCAAAAGTCAGGTGGTGGAGTTGAAAAAGCACTGCATTTTCAGTGAAAAGATCTGAACCTGAGTCCCACCTGCCCCACTTCTGAGCAAGAGAATGCTAGTTCATTCTGAGCCTTTCCCAGTCCTGCTTCATGTGTAAAAAATGGAATCGAATGCTTCCATGAATTCACAGATTTATGACCACCATGTGAGATACCAGAGAATAACCATGAAGACTTGGGCAAATGTGAAGGAGGAAATATATTTATGGAACTTAAATAATCAATACTATTGTTAAAGGTTACAAAGATAGTGATGGCAGAGGTGGGACTGGGGCCCAAATCTCCTGAATCTCAGCTAAACTCTCCTCCTTCTCCAAATGCATCTCACAAGCTTGGATTGAGTTACTGTTGCCAAGACAAAATATGAGGATGATCTAGAAACAGTATAACACAAGCCTTTTAATAAATAAGTAAATACTCAAGGTGGGTAGATAGTGTTCATTCCTATGTCTGCTGATTTGAAAAGGAGCTGGATCTATAGGCCTGACAGTTCTTTCAATAATCAACATAAAACAGCAAGTGGCATAGAAGAGGGAACACTTCTGATCTGGAGTCTACCTACAAACTTCCACCATCGTGAATGCTACATATCCGCATGGACATCGGTTTCTCCAGTGAAAGCAAGCAGGATGGTATTTTGGTAGTGCATGATGAAGTCCAGGTACTGGAAGAGAGTATGGAAAGTATTCTGGACTTCCAGAAGGACAAACACGAACGTCTTGCCAGAAGTACAGCCAGAATGCTCCTTAGAATCAGGGATGGGTAGATTTCATCTCATGTGCTCCAGACATGCTATTAGGAGAGACCAGTCTCTGAAAAAGGACATCATGCTCGGTAAAGTAGAGGGTCCTCAAAAAAGAGGAAGACCCTGAAGGAGATGGATTGACACAGTGGCTGCAACAAGGAGCCCAAACCTAACAATTGTGAGGAAGGTCCAGGAC